TCTTGAGTGGCCATAGAAGTAGCATATGTAGTTGAATTAAATGTTCTGTTTTCTTCTGAAACTTTTCTTGGATTTATCCATGGTTGGCCTACCAGGGGTTGAAAAGCCCAATAAATCGCGTACCATTGGGTGTCACACATTGGCGGTTGTGACACATATTTTGAGTGACAGTGAGCCACAGCAGAGGGGTGAAAGAGCCACATGCAGCTCCAGAGCCGCAAGTTGCTGACCCCTGCACTAGATACACCCCACTTTAGGTGTTGAGTGCTTGTATTGCTGTATTTCTGGCTCCTGTTTCTTGGCCAGGTGCTGTTTCCTGAAGCACGGGAATTACCTCAAACTCTCCTGGAAATCCCAGATATATGTGAATCCTAAGAAAGTGCGATATCGCTGCTAATGTCTTCCCTAGTTGAGATAAGTTGCTGCAGGCACAACTCCTACATTCTGCATCACAACTTCCCGCTTCTTTTCCCAGAATGCCGTGTGCAGGTCTGGTAGAAAAGCACAAAGATGCTTTGGAGGACCAAACCGTAAGAGATGGTTTCAGTTGCGGTTTTGCATGTTTGTTTAGTTCATTTAGTCTCCTGAGAGTAGTGGTTTCCAGAGGTTTCCCAGTGGCTTTTGTAACACCTTTCTACAAATATTGGCAAGCTTCTGCCACCGCGTACGAGTAGAATTGAAACTTGTTTTCTCCAAGGGATTACCGGGTCTGAACGCTTCAGTTATTTATTGACAGTGAAGTGGAACCTAATGGCTTTTTAAACCCAATTTGTGCATCATTGAAATTTCTGATTAAATTTATTGGTGGATGACACTCAAACTCTCAGCACTGGTCTTGACTGCATTGGGAGTTCCTGCACCAAAGGAAACCGGAGGTTTCCGTAGGGGGACATTTGCATAAAGAAAGGTAAGACTTGACTCTGTGATTGAAATCATCATCTTGACATTCTTGTTCCTCCCCCTGTGGACAACTTCGGAAAATTCAAGCAGGCGATATGCAGTTTGGTCATGCTATGCCCGTCAGCCTTTCGAGCAGGGGTGAAATCCAGTAGGTTCTGTAGAACTGGTAGCGGAGAACTGGCAAATGCCACCTCTGGCTGGCCCTAGAGTGGGGTGGGAATGGAGATTTTGCAATATCCTTCCCCCAGGAGTGGGGAAGGAATGGGGATTCTGCAGTATCCTTCCCCTGCCACGCCCACCAAGCCACACCATGCCCACCAAGCCACGCCCACAGAACTGGTAGTAAAAAAAAAAAATGGATTTCACCACTGCTTTCAAGGTAGCCCAAACTAGAAGTGCATTCCAAAAATATGAAGTCCAACCTTATTGTAAAGTTACACTAACAGTTTTTCAGGTATGAAAGTGCAACACTTCCTCCCACACCATTTTAGTCCAACAAACTAAGGAGAGGGTTCTTTCTGGGATGTTTGCCATGCCCGTTCTTTCTGCAGGCTCAGCTGTCTCTTATCTGTCTGTAGTCTAGTTCTGCGGCTCTTCCTCCTTTCACACCACATCCCATGGCAATGTTAAATTAGGGTAATGTACAATGGTGAAATTCAATTTTGTTTACTATTGGTTTTGTGGATGTGTCATGGCTTGGTGGGCATGGCTTGGTGGGCGTGGCAAGTGAAGGATACTGCAAAATCCCCATTTCCTCTCAACTCCTGGAGGAAGGATACTGCAAAATCTCCATTCCCTCCCCACTCTGGGGCCAGCCAGAGGTGGTATTTGCTGGTTCTCCAAACTACTCAAAATTTCTGCTACCGGTTCTCCAGAACCTGTCAGAACCTGCTGGATTTCACCCCTGGTAATGTAAAGCATTTTCTCCAACCTGGCGCCCTCCAGATGTGTGGGCCTTCCGTTCCTACATTCATAATATCATTTAAGGCCATCGAAGACTCTGGGTGTTGTACATGAGCAAAGCAATATTCATGAATGAAGGCAAATATACGTGTCCGAGGATAATGTTGCAGGATCCAATCTGGGTCGGTCATCAGAGGTTTACTCTTCTGAGCTTTCGAACTCGTGTTGGAGCCCATCCTCAGAGAACTTCTCTCTCTAACCCAAAAGTGCTTTTTCATCCAGGGTCATGGTTGTCCCAGAGGTGCTTTTTCAGGAGGCAACTGGACTTTCTGGTTTTTCTTTGAAGACGTTTCGCTTCTCATCCAAGAAGCTTCTTCAGCTCAGAGTGGATGGTGAGGAATAGTTCCAAAAAGGCTCCACACCCATTTGCACCACTCAGGTGACCCTGAAGACACATATAAACCTCCAGGTGGCCTTAAAGACTTGTTAAAAGAATGGGAATGACCAGCTGTCTGCAAGGAGTATAAATCCTTCCATTCCCCACCATGAACAAGCTTCTTGGATGAGAAGCGAAACGTCTTCAAAGAAAAACCAGAAAGTCCAGTTGCCTCCTGAAAAAGCACCTTTGGGACAACCATGACCTGGATGACTGAGGATCTCCATAAACATTTTTCTTTCTAACCTTTCTGCCTTTGGGAGCTACTACCAAAAATGGAATGGAGTGGAATGGATTTTTTTATCGGCCAAGTGTGACCGGACACACAAGGAATTCGTCTCTAGTGCATAACTTCCCAGTGTACATATTAACACCAAGTAATAGGTCATAAATCATAGTTACAAGCATTAATCATAAGTTACATGTTCCGTTAAAGATGGCGCCGCTATGACAGCCTCAGTGAAATGCTCTCTATTATCAAAAATACCGTCTTCTAGTCCAGGGGTCTCCAACAGGGGTGGGTTCTAATTTTTTTTACTACCGGTTCTGTGGGCATGGCTTATTTTGTGGGTGTGGCTTGGAGGTCATGTGACTAGGTGGGCGTGGCTAGCTGGTCAGTCATTTCTGGAAGGTCCTCACACTTACGATCAGTCCTCGCACTTACTACCCAACTCATTTGTTTGCTTTTAACACTGATCAGCTGTAGGGCGGCCCTTTGAAGCCCCGCGGCAAGAGTTTAAACAGTTTTTTTCCCTCTAGTCATCAGCTGGGACTCAGGAGGCAGGAATAGATTGGGGGTGGGACCAAATAAAAGGTAAGAATAACGTGGGTGGGCAGGGGTGGGGAGAACCGGTTCGGTGATGTCATATCGTCACCGCTACCGGCTTGGCCGAACCGGACCGAACTGGGAGGAACCCACCACTGATCTCCAACCTTGGTCATTTTAAGCCTGGAGGACTTCAACTCCCAGAATCTACTTCTAGTCTGCTTCCTTGACTTTCATGGGGAGGAAGTTCAGAGCAGATCTTCTGATGAAAACTTGGCCAAGTGGCACCCCTTAAGGGTGGTCCTTCTACTGCAACCTTTTTGAAGATTTTCCCCCTACCCAAAAGTTTAGATATGTGCCTCATTTCAGTATTATAGCGATCAAGGAAATTTTTGTTAGGTTGCTGGGTCTGTATCGCCCTTAGATTCTTTTTCAGCAGACTAGGGCAAGTTTGCTGAGTGTGAAAATTTGGTGTAGTGGTTAAGATGTTGGCTTGAGAAACCAAGAGACGGCGAGTTCTAATCCTATTTTAGGCATGAAAAACTGGTTGGGTGACCTTGGACTATTCACTCTTTTTTAACCTAACTCCTCACAGGATTGTTGTTCTAGGGAAAATAGAAGGTGGAAGGAGAATTAGATATCTTCTCATCCTTGAGTTGTACAGGTAGTCCTCGACTTATGACCACAATGGAGCCCAAAATTTCATTTGTTAAGTGAGACATTTGTTAAGTTTGTTTTGCCCCATTTTACAATCTTTCTTGCCATAGTCGTTAAGTGAATCTCTGCAGTTGCTAAGATAGTAACATGCTTGCTAAGTGAATCTGGCTTCCCCATTCACTCTGCTTGACAGAAAGTCGCAAAAGGGTATCACAGGACCCTGGGACACTGCATCCGTCATAAATATGAACCAGTTGCCAAGAGTCTCAATTTTGATCAGGTGACCAGGGAAGGGCTGCAAAAATCGTAACTCTGAAAATGGTCATAAGTCAGTTTTTTTCAGTGCCGTTGTAATTTTTAAACAGTCACTAAATGAACTGGTGTAAGTCGAGGACTATACCTGGTGTATGAAAAAAAAAATGGCAAGATAAAAACCTGAAAAACAAATTCTAAGTTGTTGCAATGCATTGTAAAAAGTTGGCGAAGGGTGCCTTGGCCTTTGCCAAACTTTCCTTGGCATCTGATTTAGGAGGAATGCTGAAGACTACCATGCTTTCTGGATGTTTGCTGCCTTATTTATTTATTATTTTATTTTATTAGATTTTTATACCGCCCTTCTCCTGCTGGACTCAGAGCGGTGAACAGACAAGAATAAAAACATCACATGCAAAATTTAAGATTAATTTTAAAAGAATTAAACAAGTTTTGGCCCAATATAAAATTTAAAACACCCCAACTAAAATCAATTAATAATTAAAAATATCTAAGGGGGGGTGGGGTGTCAAGCCAGCCCAGCTTGATGAAATAAAAAAGTTTTAAGGGCATGGCAAAAAGCACGGAGATCTGGGATCCTACGTATCTCCGGGGGCAGGTTGTTCCAAAGGACAGGTTTGACAGCTCTTCTTTCATTTCTTTTTGTACACCTGAAGGCCCTACTGAGGGAATAAGAAAATAAAAACAGCAGTGTGCCTAAAATTAAGCCAGTTTGGCATCTCCCACACTTGACAACTTTTAAGACTTATGGATTTAAACTCCCAGAATTCCTCAACTATGTAAACGGTGGGCCTGATTATCAGTGCCTAACTTCATTGCTTCACGGGGCATCTGAAGGGTCAAGCCAAAATTCAGAACCAGAATGAAATCCTCTTCGCCAGACCACCTGACTTGCCAATATCCAACCCTCTAAGCCAATTAACAGATGTGTCAGCTTTTGGTATTTTCAGTACCATTATTAATGAGTTCTATCATTAAGAAATTGTAGCCTGTTATAATTTTCTGTAATGTAGATAGGATCTACATTACCTACCTCCATTAATTTCATTTCTTCTTTGCTTGTAGTGCCAACCACAAAAATCTTGGCTACCGGCGGGGCTTCCCATAATAAGGCAATCTTACAAGTAAGTGTGGCTTTTTTGCATTTGAGATCAGCGTCCAGTGTGCCATTTTAGCCAGCTGGTGAGCTCTTGAGTGAAAAATCAAAACTAGGGAACCAAGGTCTTGAGTGGGCAGAGAGAGCCTTAGGAGGAATTAGCCAGCAGTGTAATTTGCGTAGGAGATGTTTACATGACCATTTGTATGAAAGGACATACAGGATTTACTGTCCTGGTCATCTGTACATCTCCAAGGTAAAGATCTTGTCTGGGGCAAGCCCCAATTTGTCTGGAAGACTACCATGGAAACTTCCAGTCAAATTAGATCCTGCTAAGCACCATCTGCTGTTCAGCACCTATTATGTGTAAATATTAGATACTAGATGGATTAGGCAGGATATGATAGCTGTCTTCCAAGATTTGAGGGGCTGTCACAGAGAAGAGGGATTGACTTATTCTATAGGGCACTAGAGCAGGGGTCTCCAACCTTGGCAACTTTAAGAGTTGTGGACTTCAACTCCCAGAATTCTCTTAAAGTTGCCAAGGTTAGAGACCTCTGCACTAGAGGGCAGGATAAGAAGGCCAGGGTGGAAGTTTCTAGGGATCCACAACCTAGAAGTAAGAGATTAATTTTTATTAATTTTATTTCTTATTCATTTGTAGTTCCAGATTTTCTGACAGAGCAGTTAATTAGTGGAACAGTTGCTTCCAGTTGTAAGTGCTCTTGTCCCTGGAGGTTTTCGAGAATAGCCTGGACAACCATTTGACTGGGACAGCATAAGCTTTGAGAAGAGGATTAGCCTAGAAGGCCTATTCCAACCTTATGATTCTATGTTTGTACAGTCATTCAAACCTGATCTGTGATTTTGGAACTTTAGAATCTGTGAGAGTGCAAATATAATGTATTATTCGCAACACTGACTGTATGTACCCTGCACAGAGAACTGGCACTTCTTGACAATTTAAGAAGGGACTTGAAAGCAAGATAGTTTTTTAAAAAAGGGCCCTTCCTAAACTGTTCTCTCAGCCATGGTTTCCTGTTGTCGGTGTTGATGAAGTCCAGCTCATCCACACTTGGAAAGAGGCCTTTGGCTTCACGTCATCAGTTGACACATCGTGGGACTGTGACATGACACCAAGAAGAAAAGGTTATGTTAATCTGTAGCTGGAAAACCGCAGAAGTTCACATCTTTAGATTCCTAGAAAAGGCAAATTAAAGCAGATGCTTTTCAAAGTCAAGAACTGGGAATAGTCAATAAGCCACAACTTTATTGGAACCTTTTGCTATTGTCTGAGTGTTACTACCGTTGTGTATTACAGTTGTATTTGGTTGCAGCTGTCTAAGATTCTGTAACATTAGCCTCTGCATCCTGTTAACTAAAAGCAGTTACAGGTAATCCTCCACTCATAACCACAATTGGGATCAGAATTTATTTTGCTAAGCAAGATGGTTGTTAAGTGAGTCATGCCTGATTTTGCAGGGTTTTTTTTGGCGTGGTTCTTAAGTGAATCATTGTAGTTGTTAAATGAATCTGGCTTTCCCCTTTGATATGCTTGTCAGATGCTGGCTGGGAAGGTCACAAATGACAATCGCATGACTCCAGGATTCTGCAATTGTTGTAAATGCATACTGGTTGCCAATCCTGAATTTTAATCCCATGACAGTAGGGATGCTGCAATGGTCATAAGTGTGAGGACCAGTTGTAAGCCACTTTTTCTTAGTGCCATTGTTATTTTGAATGATCACTAAATAAATTGGTTGTAAGTCAAAGACTACCTGCATCATGTGATTGCAGGATTATAAAAAATAATAATAATAAAGATCTGCCCCTAATTGACCACAGCTAAGATCATAGAGCATGCAGAAATGATCTGTTGAGGATATAATTTCTAGGAAATTCATTTTATGGTTTTTGGAAGAGAAGGAACTCTGAAGGGTATGTTGAAGCCAAGTCAGCAACCCGATTATTTCTGCCTGATTAGCAGATGTCAAGTTCCAAACATTGCTCACTTTTTTTTTTTTTACATATTTAAACATTCTTGCATTTTTTCCCCAGTGAATGTTTTAGGTGAGATTGAAGCAGTTCTACCCAGTTCTATGGCCTCCTTCCTTTTTGCTGCCCATAATTTGCAAGTTTCTAATTGTTCTTAGTTTCTCTATGGCCATGCTGCTGGGGAGCTAAGAAATTCAAAGGCCAGTATTTCTCAGTATTTCTCCAAAAGGTTGGATAGGGATTTTATTTTTTTCCAAGAATGGGTAAAGACAATTAAGATTTTTATGTATAAAATAACCATGTAAATTCATCTCGCTCTAGTATCTTCTCCATCCTTCCTCCTTAACCCTGTGTCCTGGTAATAGTTCTCAAAAACTCCTGGATTTAATTCAGTACTTTGTTTTCCCAGATATTATTTGCACATTCCAAAATTGGAAGGGAAATATTCTTTCATTGCAGGCTTAATGTGAAAAGTAGCCCAGATTTTGGCTATTGGGGTTCTTCCCAAATCCTGAGACATCTCTGACAAGAATAACAAGATCTCCAGCAGACTGCTCAGTTTTTAATAAGTGCAATATTTCTTTGGATCTGGCTTTTGATTAAAAACCCAGTTGCCCATTAGCTTGCAAGCCGCAAAATAGAATGCAGACAGTATTGGATAACTTTAAAATTCCATTCCTGCTCTTGTTTTAAGCTGATTTTTGGCTCATGCTGAATTGTTGCCAAGTGACGCATCCTCATGTATTTTTCCATAAAACTGGATTTATTTGATAGGATTTACAAAATCCAGGGACTGTCCATTGTCTATGTAGGCACTAGATTTATATTCCACCATTTTTTCCAAGATGTCAGGGATATAAGAGCCTTAGTGGCGCAGCCGACTAAAGCGCTGTTAAGTAGCACCAGCTACCTGCAATTACTGCAAGTTCAAATCTCACCAGGCTCAAGGTTGACTCAGTCTTCCATCCTTTTGAGGTAGGTAAAATGAGGACCCGGATTGTGGGGGCAATAAACTGACTTTGTATAAAATAGAACACCGCTTGGGGGGGCCAAAAAGCCCTACTAAGCAGGTATATACAAAAATATGAAGGCTATTGCTTAACGCATTGTAAGCCGCCCTGAGTCTCCGGAGAAGGGCGGCATATAAATCGAACCAATAAATAAATAAATAAATGCTCAGATGAAAGTTTCCCTTCATTTTATCCCAACCACAACCTTATTGCCTTGAAGTAGGCTGAGAAAGAGCAGCTGGCCTAAAGTCACATTGTGTTGTTGTGTTTATAGGCCAGAAAACAGTCACTGCAACATTAGATTAATTTACTTTATTGTTGTACAGTGTAGTAAAAGAATCTTGAAAGCCTATAGGACTTTCTCTCTACTTTGTGTTATACCAAAGAGAAACAAGAAAAATTTATTTTGAGGTACTGTGTTTCCCCTGCTCCCCCCCTCCCCCCATTTTCCCAGGCCTGAGCACTCATGTTTTCTCCTATAGTCATTCCTCCATTCTTACATCAAAGTTATTTCTGTGTTCTTCTACATCGTAAGGTTCCGTGGTTGAGGATGGATTTCAACCTAGGATTCCAGAGCCTTGACCGCCAACTTTAAACTTAACCTTAATTATTACCTGTTACTTTTTTTCTGTTGATCCGTCTCTCCATCCAAAAGATGCCTTAAGCTACTTATTAATTAATTTCCGAGTGGTGATTCCTAGCATCGGACCTCTTCTGGCTGCAAATCTTGTCTGTCTGTCTTGACAACGGAAGCGAACTGCAGAGTGGTTTTTTTTCTTAATCAAATTGTGATAGACTTTCCCCCCCCCCTTTTCAGATCCTGTCCGATGTCTTCGGCGTTCCAGTGTACACAATTGACACGGCTAATTCAGCCTGCTTAGGTTCCGCTTACAGGGCCATCCATGGTAAGTCAACCAGAAGAGTCTGTAAGCATTGGGCACGCAGCCAGTACAGCGGATCCTCAACTTATGACCATTTGTTTAGCCATTTAGTATAGCCTTTATTGTCATTGTACACCATGTATTTCCAATGAAATTGGTTTTAGCCTCACTGGTGCAATCCATGCCAAAAAGTACAAACAACATAAATAGTATAAGGAATAATCCCTATGCAAGTAATTAGGGGGGAAAAAAGAAAAAGAAAAACTAGTCCTACATTTCCACATGTACGTGGACGATTGTGGTTGTGTTTAAGAGTTTGACAGCCCAAGGATAGAAACTTTTTAAACCTATTTGTCCGGCTGGCTATGCTTTGATGTCTTCTGCCCGATAGTAGAAGTGTGAAGAGAAACTGACCAGGGTGTGAATCATCTCTGAGTATCTTCCTTAGTTTGCTAAAGCAGCGAGACCTAGTGATGTCATCCAGTGGTGTTAGAGGGCAACTAATGTTTTCTTGTGCCGAATTGATCACTCTCTAACAGTACTGGAAAAGAAATTGACTTGCAACTATCATAGCGTCTCCATGGTCACATGATAAAAATTTGGGCACTTGGCAACCAGCATGCCTTTAAGACAGTTGCAGTGTCCCAGAGTTACGGGTCTGCTATTTGCCACCTTCTCAGCCAGCTTCTAACAAAGCAAAGTCAATGAAGTTGGATTAATTTAACAACCGTGAGATTCACTTAACAACCATGGTGATTCATTGAATGATCACAGCAAAAAAGGGGCCATAACATCTGGCATGACTCGCTTAATAGCCACCTGGCTTAGTGACGGAACTTTCCAGTCCATATTGTGGTTGGTAAGTCGAGGACTACCTGCAGAATACACTTAAGGTGGCTTCCGCTTAAATGGGTCTCAAGCCTTGCCTTCTTGCATGGTATTTCCCGTGGATCAGGAGGCCTCAAATTTGATCCTCAAGGAAGAACCTTTGGGCTACACTGCCTTTCATCTTCTTCTCCGGTAGTTGATCTTCACCAGATTTATTTACTTGCTGGTCAGTTTGCTTAAGCTATTTATTTCATTGACACATCAGCCCAACTCACAAAAGCAACTCAGGATGGCTTACAATGAGTCAGAAGCATCAAAACAACAACAACAACAAAAAAGCCTGATTATGTTTGTAGATAAAATCAGCATCCCCTCTCCCCGCCCCCCAATAAAATAATAAAACAATTGAAGTTAACCATCACTTATTTATTCCATTCAAGATTTTTCATTTTTGGGTTGGGATCTTCTCGCAGCACTAGCAATAGCATTTGGACTTATATATTTCCCCATAGTGCTTTACAGCACTCTCTTGGTGCTTTACAATGTCAGCCTCTTGCCCACAACAATCTGGGTCCTCATGTTTTTTTTTAACATCTAAAGCAGTGTTTCTCAACCTTGGAAGCTTGAAGATGGGGTGGACTTCAACTCCCAGAATCCCCCAGCCAGCAACGCTGGCTGGGGGTTTCTGGGAGTTGAAGTCCCCCCATCTTCAAGCTACCAAGGTTGAGAAACACTGATCTAAAGGATGGAAGGCTGAGTCAACCTTGAGCTCTGTCAGGATTGAACTCCAGGCTGTGGGGATGCAAAGTTAGCCTGCAATGCTATGTTCTAAGCACTGCGCCACCAGGGCTCATGAAAGACTCTCAGGCTGTTCCATGGCTAGTATTGAAGAGGAGCCTTGGTGGCGCAGCAGACTAAAGCACTGTTAAGTAACACCAGCTGCCTGCAATTACTGCGAGTTCAAATCTCACCAGGCTCAAGGTTGACTCAGCCTTCCATCCTTTCGAGGTAGGTAAAACGAGGACCCGGTTTGTGGGGGCAATAAGCTGACTTTGTATAAAAAAGAACACCGCTTGGGGGGGCCAAAAAGCCCTACTAAGCAGGTACCGTATTTTCCGGCGTATAAGATGACTTTTTAACACATGAAAATCTTCTCAAAAGTCGGGGGTCGTCTTATACGCCGGGTGTAGTTCTCCTGTAACCAGGCAGACCAGCCCGAAAGGCTCTGACGAGCCTTAAATGGCTCTGGCGATCCCAGCTCTGACAATCCCAGCTGAGTTCCCTGCAACTCAGCTGGGATCGCCAGAAACCACGTAAAAGGAAAAAAGTTTTTTCCCTTTTACTCTGAGGATCCCAGCTCTGACGATCCCAGCTGAGTTCCCTGCAACTCAGCTGGGATCGCCAGAAACCACGTAAAAGGGAAAAAGTTTTTTCCCTTTTACTGTGAGGATCCCAGCTCTGACGATCCCAGCTGAGTTCCCTGCAACTCAGCTGGGATCGCCAGAAACCACGTAAAAGGGAAAAAGTTTTTTCCCTTTTACTCTGAGGATCCCAGCTCTGACGGTCCCAGTTCTGACGGTCGATCCCATCCCAGCTGAGTTCCCTGCAACTCAGCTGGGATGGCCAGAGCCATGTAAAAGGGAAAAAGTTTTCCCCCTCCAGCTTGCTTAACTTAGCTGCTGGTCGCAACGCCTTGCTGTAATCCCTGCAATTGATTGTATCAGCAAGCAACTGAATCTCCCTGCCTGCAGTCAAGCAGGCAGGGAGTTGTGGACTTCAACTCCCAGAATTCCTCAGCCAGCAAAGCAAAGCTGGCTGAGGAATTCTGGGAGTTGAAGTCTACAAGTCTTAAAGTTGCCAAGGTTGGAGACCCCTGTTCTATTGGGTAAGATTTTTCCCCTTTGGGAGCTTTAAAAAAATAGTCAATTGGGGTTTTTTTAGTTGTTCTTTTTTAGACCTAGCCATTTAGGAAGCCGTTTAGGAAGTTTTAAATTTAGCTTTCATATAAAAATAAAAATAAAATAAAATAAAATAAAATAATATTTGTGCAGCTTTCTGAGATTTAGTGTGTTTCTGTAGTGTTTCACTCCAACTACACAAACACACAAAATCTCACAAAGCTGTATGTGGAATTTTGTGTGTGTAAAGTGTGAAAGTTGGTTTTTTGGACTTTTTGTGGCTGTGTGAGGTTCCTGCTTGTTGCAGGGGCCATTTTGGGTCTAGCACAGCTGCTTTTACATTGTGGGTGAGCCAGTTGTGTTGTGTTGTGTGTGTTTAGAGTGTGAAAGTTTTTTGGGGGGGCTTTTTGTGGCTGTGTGAGGTTCCTGCTTGTTACAGGGGCCATTTTGGGTCTAGCACACCTGCTTTTACATTGTAGGTGAGCCAGTTGATGTTTTTTAATTTTTATTTGGTGTGCATTGGAAGAGGGGCAGTCTTATATGGCAAGTACAGCCCAAACCCTATATTTTAACAGGAAAAGTTGGGGGTCGTCTTATATGCCCAGTCGTCTTATACGCCGGAAAATACGGTATATACAAAAGTAAGGAGGCTATTGCTTAACGCATTGTAAGCCGCCCTGAGTCTCCGGAAAAGGGCGTCATATAAATCGAACTAATAAATGAATAAATAAATTCCTTGGTCTCGCCTCCCTTAAAAAAAAATCACTCAGTAAATCAGCAAGAGAAATATGGATGTAAGGTGGGCTGGGCCCCCCCCCCCCCCCCGCTTCATTGGGCCATCCTGCCTTGCTAACCTTCAACCTCGGTCTGCAAGCACCCCAGTTCTATATTCCAGATTTTTGCAACTCCCACTCCTGTTGGTATGGTCCATACAGATAGTCCTCGACTTACAACAATTTGTCTAGTGACTGTCCAAATTTAGAATGGCACTGAAAAAAGTGACTTATAACCATTTTTCACACGTACAACCATTGCAGCATCCCCATGGCCACACAATCAAAATTCAGACGCTTGGCAAGTGGCTCATATTTATGACGGTGGCCATGTCCTGGAGTCACGTGATCCCTTTGTTCGACCTTCTGGCAAACAAAGTCAACAGCGAAGCCAGATTCACTTAACAGTCATGTTACTAACTTAACAACTCCAGTAATTCATTTAACAGCAGTGGCAAGAAAGGTCGTAAAATGGAGCCAAACTCACTTAACAACTGTCTCACTTAGCAATGTAAATGTTGGACTCGATTGTGGTTGTAAGTTGAGGACTAATTTTATTGCAAAGTAAGAAGAATCGGAGAAGGGTGGGTGGCTTATTAACCATGTGAAATGCCAGGGAGGAGGGCCCCTTACAGTGAAGAAAAATGCTACTCTTCCACTCCCCCCCCCCATGGCCTTTTCTGCTTACGTTGGCTTTGTGGTTCCATGAATCAATCACTTCTAGTCTTCATTCCTGGAAGGGCAGCATGTGTATGAAGGATGGGGCTGCCATGTTGGGGAAGCTGAGATAACCATAGCTATACAGAGATGAGGAGGAAGGCAGGACTTAAAAAAAAGAGAGGACCTTATCAGTGCATTCTTTATTGATAATGCTTCTTAGAGTAGGGATGTCAAACTCGATTTCATTGAGGGCCCTATCAGGGTTGTGTTTGACCCAGGGGTGGGTTCTAAAAATCTTTACACCGGTTCTGTGGGTGTGGCTTATTTTATGTGCGTGGCTTGGTGGGGGATAATGTGACTGGGTGGGCGTGGCCAACTTTTTTTTTACTTTTATTTTTTTTTCTACAACCTCTTCGGCTAAAGAGGTTGCAGAAAAAAATGCTTTTAGAAGCCTCTGACGATCAGGCAACTCAGCTGGGATCGCCAGAGGCTTTTAAAGGCATTTTTTTCCCCTACAACCTCTTTGGCCGAAGTGGTTGTAGAAAAAAAAATGCCTTTAAAAGCCTCTAACGATCCCAGCTGAGCCGTGCGATCATCAGAGGCTTTTTTTTTTTTTTACTTTTAAAAACATTTTTTCGGCTGAAGAGATTGTAGAAAAAATGCTTTTAGAAGTTAAAAAAAAAAAAAGCCTCTGATGAGGTGGGTGGGGTAAGCGAGCAGCGACCGGGCCAGGGACCGGTTCGGGGGCGTGGCCAGCCAATGTTATTACCGGTTCTCCGGACTACTACAAATCTGTACTACTGGTTCTTACGAACCGGTGCGAACCGGGAGCAACCCACCACTGGTTTGACCTCCGGGGGCCTGGAGTGGGTGTGGCCGGCTCGACATCACTCATGTCGGGGGCACCTGTGGAGGCCCGAGCCCTCTACCAGCGAAAATGGGCTCCCGAGCTCCATGTGGCCCTCCTGAGCTCTGTTTTCGCTGGCAGAGGGTTGCAGGAGGCCATCGCAGCCAAAAACAGAGCTCAGGAGCCTGTTTTCACTGGCAGGGGCTCTGTGGCCGGTCCTTTGCTTTTTCCAGGGCAGCCCTGCGGGCCAGATCTAAACAGCCTATGGATCCGGCCCCCTTGCCTTGAGTTTGACACTTCTGTCTTAGAGCAATACAGTTCTGGTCACCAGGCTTATAAAAAGGTATTCCTTGTAGCTGCTAATGATAAATCAACTTTTGTGGGAGAGTCTCTGTATTTTCTTTTAACGTCCCATAAAACCAACGTATCTTTGTGTAGATACGGCCAAGAACAGCTTTGTGGTATTCTAAAAGGCTCCTGAATTATTATATTCTAGACCAGGACTTTCAAAACTTGGCAACTTTAAGAATTGTGGACTTCAACTCCCAGGGGTCAAGATTGGAAAATCCTGGTCTAGACTTTGGCGAATAAAAGCCCACCCTTCCAAGGTAGTTTTTTTTAGACTTGGATGTCCTACAAGACAAATTATGTGAGCGTATTTGAGTAAGTGCACTAATAGGGCTTATCCTCTGGATCAGCCCATGAATTCTGGTTTGCGGCCTTGTTTATAAGGCTGAATGAAGTTTCTCCTTTGTGCACCTCCTTTTTAAAAGAAAAAAACGGTCCTGGGCCTTCAATTTATTCATTCTTCATCCCTCCGCTTCTCCTGACTGCCTTATCATCATTCTTCAGCGATCACTGATACTGTTGAACTTGCAACTGTGTGGCCAGCTTTACCCTCCATGGGACAAATCGAATTATTGACCCAGATGTGATCTCTGAGACCCCCACACGCCTAGATCCGTGCATTTGAAAATAAAATCTTTACTCTTTATCCTTCACTTCTGAAGACTGACCCGTCTGGGGAAGATCAATGCAACATATGCATCTGCCAAGGAGTTCAGACAATTCCTCATCTTGTTTCTCCTCATTGATCTTCTTCGTAGGACTTGCGACAGAGGCAGGACTGCCCTTGACCGATGTCATGAAATCAGCACCGGGGCCCCGATTAGCTGCTACTCCAGCTGCAGGCACAAGTCAGGTATGGAGGAGGCCTTACTTTCTTTTATTCTCTTACTTCTACTGGCTTTAAAATTACAGTGGTCACACAAGGTAATCCTCGACTTACAGTCATTCATTTATCCCAAAGGTGCTTTTTTATTCAAGAGGCAACTGGACTTCCTTCATTTTTCCTTGGAGATGTTTTGCTTCTCACCATTCTCATTTTCGCTTCTTGGATGAGAAGCAAAACGTCTTCAAAGAAAAATCAGAAAGTCCAGCTGGCTCTTGGAAAAAAAAGCATCTTTGAGGCAACCATGACCTGGATGACTGTGAATCTCCATAGACATTGGACCAGGGGTGAAATGCTCCTGGTTCGGACCGGATCACTCAATCCGGTAGCAATGACGGCGGGTGGTTCGGAGAACAGGTAGCAAAAATCCCTGCCACCACCCCCTGCCCAGCTGAGCCGCGCAATCATCAGAGGATTTTTTTTTTACTTTTAAAAGCATTTTTTCTTCGGCCAAAAAAAATGCTTTTAAAAGTATTTTAAAATACTTTGGCCGAAGAGGTTGTAGAAAAAATGCTTTTAGAAGTAAAAAAAAAAAAAAAAAGGCCATGTCCACCCAGTCACATTACCCCCCCCCCACCACCACCACCACCAAGCCACACACACAGAACTGGTAGTAACAAATTTTACATTTCACCACTGCATTGGACCATTCATTTAGTGACCGTTTGAAATGACAACAGCACTGAAAAAAATGACTTATGACTAGAAATCGCTCTTATGACCGTGATAGTATCCCCACAGTCATGTGATCAAAATTTAGTTGTTTGGCAACTGGCATGTACTTATGGCGGTTTTAGTGTCCCAGGATCACCAGTTGCAATCTTTCCAGCTGGCTTCCAACAAGTAAAGTCGAGAGGAAAGCCAAATTTTCTTAATGACTGCATGATTCACTTAACAGTTATGGTGAGTCGCTTAACAGCTGTGGCAGAAAGGCTCGTAACATGGAACATGACTCACTTAACAACCAATGAAAGTTGTTGGTAATGAAACATTTGCAATAAAACCATCAAGCTTAGAGAGCACCAAGGACTCCTCACTTAACAACTGCCTTCCTAAGCAATGGAGATTCTTGTCCCAATTGTGGTCGTAAGTCGAGGACCACCTGTAGAAATTATTATAATTATTCATTTGTAATGAATTTGGAAACTTTTGAGTCCTTTTTGTAGGAATGGTTGGGGTGCCATGTCAGGTTTGCATGAGTATATGTGTGTGTGTGTGTGTGTGTGTGTATGTATGTATGTATGTATGTATGTGTATGTATATGTGTATATGTATATGTATATGTATATATGTAGGTCTTTGATTATTCAAGTTTTCTCCCGCGTAAAATTGGAGGTTTCTTGGCAACGTTTCGACGAAGTCTCATTCGTCAAAACGTTGCCAAGAAACCTCCAATTTTACACGGGAGAAAACCCGAATAACCAAAGACCTACATACAAAAACCTCAGAAAACAAACAAATATATATATGTGTGTGTGTGTGTGTGTGTGTGTGTGTGTACAGTTAATATCTCGGGTTTCTTCCTGTGAAATTGTAAGCATATCCTTAAAAGGGTAGTAGCGACATTTCAACGAAATCACATTCGTCATCTTCTGGCTGAAGTTCTCGGTTTGGTGCTTATGGTCAAACTGTGTGATCGTAACTGACGTTTTTCTATGAAAAGAGGCAAAGGTGTATTCTGATTGGTCGACAGTGTTGTTGTATTCTGATTGGCTGATGACGTAGCTGTATTTTGATTGGGTGGAAGCGCTGTTGCTTGGTTGTGGGTTAATGGATAAGTTATGCTGGAAATGGTGGCAAAACAGGCATTATGATGAATCTTTGATCTATGGTTTATATTTTGTGTTAAGATTCGTCTGTCTATGAGAGCAGGTTTCCAAATAGTAGGCAGACGGGAAGTGTCATTTCGTTGAAACGTGGCTACTACCCTTTTAAGGATATGTTTACAATTACATGGGAAGAAACACGAGATATTAACTGTACACACATACATACCCGTGAAAACTTACATAAACATATAAACATATATATATGTTTATAAGAAACTTGTGAATGAGATTTCACAGAACCTAGGGCTGTAGAACAACTAAGTTTACGTAGGTAAAACCTGGCTAGAAAGAATATGCATATATATATATATATATATACACACACACACACACATACATACATACATACATACATACATACATACATACACATACATACAAACATACATACACATACATAATAAATATCTTTAGCTCTAAGACAGGCAACTGGATGCCCTCCAGATGTTTTGGGCTATATGTCCCAAAGTCCCTTCCTGCTGGACAGATTGGATGAGGCATATGTCTAAAACATCTGGAAACCATCTGGCTGCTTACCTATATTTTAGAGCACTCATTGAAGAAGCTATACTTCTTCCCACAACTTTCTCACAAAAATGTATTTCCTGGTGAATCCTAATCTCATTTTATGGTGTATTATGAGCTTGCTTCCTGAATTACACATGTGCTGTAGAACTCAAAGCCATTACTGAATTCTTGACTGCCTGGTAGTTGAAGGAGAGATTAATGCAGGCGGACATTTTTTTTGTCTGCCGTTGTAGATCTGGATGAACTTCTCGGGGATTCCAGAGCTCCTGGGAAACATAGTTGGGGTATCAAATTACATTGGACAAACCCTTGGGGCATCCCTATGCCTGCCTTTCCTTGTGCTGTGTCTCTACTTACCTTGATCATCAATCCTGGTTTTCCTGTGTTATGGAGAAGGCAACTTTTGATGCCCCCATACTGTCTCCCCTTGGCCTCCCTCATTTCCCTGTGATAGAAATCTGTACGGTTTTGCCTGCTGGCAGTATGGATTCCTCCACAAGCATCACCCGTGGCAGAAGCCAGAGAGTTTCCCAATAATCCAGAGTGTTAATATGAAAACTGCCAGGGAAGTTTATAATCTGATGAGTCAGTTTAGTTCTGTTTTTAACAGGCTGCATCTCCTTGTCTATCTGATTCTGTTCTGTTGAGTTTAGCAGCTTTCATTTAAGTGATGGTTCTTTTTATAAACCTCAAAGTCGACCAGAGGTTAAGTGCTGTCTTCTCTGTAAAATAACTGTGTGAAGTGTTGTCTTGATCAGAGCCCCTCCAGTTTGCTTTCAGGGTATACAAAATAGGTGTTTTCAGCGAGAAAAGAAATGCAAACAGACACTTCCATATAAATAACCTTCAAAAGGCAGAATTTACATGGGTTTGCATTTGTTTATATATATGTATTTCTTTATACACACTTAGGCAAATATATAAACACACACACACACTCACATGTTTTGTCTCCCCTATAGCTGATTCTGCAGCATCTGGTGAGTTTTTTTTTTTCTTCCAATGGGTAGAATTAATTTATGGAAAAGGGCTATTTCTCGATGGCATTAAGTTACACAAACATTATTTCTACAGTCCTTGACATTCAGAAATGTCTGTAGGAGGGCTCCAGATTGGTAAGGTAGTTAATGGTGTGTCGTGGTTTCAGAGTGCAGTTCAAAAGTGGGGGGCGGAGGGAGCTTGAGTTTTGATGTTCCCTCAGCCATCTTGCTGATCTTGACCCCTGACCTTCCCTGTGTAGATGCTACTGGATTTCTCTTGAGATTTCTGGTGTTCTTGCACTATCAACACCACAATACAATACAAATAATCCTCAATTCATAACTATTCATTTAGCAACCATTTGAAGTTACAATGGCACAGAAAAAAATGACTTAACCACAGATCCTCACGCTTACAACTCTTACGGCATCCCCATGGTCACGTGACCAAAATTCAGGCCATTGACAACCGGTGTGTATTTAAAATTATTTGAAGCATCCCAAGGTCATGTGATCACCCTTTGCGACCTTCCCAGCCGACTTCCAACAAGCAAAGTCAACGGGAGAAGCGGGATTTGACGAACGATTTTATGATTCACTTTACTGCAGTGTTTCGCTTAACAACCATGGCCAAAAAACTGGGCACAACCACTTGCTTAGCAACAGAAATTCTGGTCCCAGTTGTGATTGTAAGTTGATGGATCTTGACAGACTTGAACACTGGACCCTATCTAACAAAATGAAATTCAGTGTAGAGAAAAGTAAAGTCTTACACTTAGGTAAGAAAAACCAAAAGCACACATATAGACTGGGGGAAACCAGACTTAATAGCAGTGACCATGAGAGGGATCTTGGAGTCTTAGTGGACAACCAGCTAAATATGAGCCAACAGGGTGAGGCGGCAGCCAAAAAAGCCAATGCAATCCTAAACTGCTTTAACAGAGGGATACAATCAAGATCACATGAGGTACTAATACTACTCTATAAAGCCTTAGTAAGACCACACCTAAAGTACTGCATCCAGTTTTGGTCACCACACTATAATAAAAGATGTTGAGACTCTAGAAAAATTGCAGAGAAGAGCAACCAGGATGATTAGGGGACTGGAGGCTAAAACATACGATGAATAGTTGCAGGAACTGGGCATAGCTACTCTAGTGAAGAAAAGGACCAAGGGAAACACAATAACAGTCTTCCAATATTTGAGGGGCTGCCACAGAGAGGAGGGGGTGAAACTATTTTCCAAGGCACCTGAGGGCCAGACAAGGAATAATGGATGGAAACTGATCAAGAACAGATTCAACCTAGAAATAAGGAGAAATTTTCTGATAATGAGAATAATCAACTGATGGAACAGAAGTTGCCTTTGGAAGTTGCGGGAGCTTCATCACTGGAAGCTTGGACTGGACTGGACTGCCATTTGTCAGAAATGGTTCAGGGTCTTCTGCTTGGGCGGGAGGTTGGACTAGATGACCTACAAGGTCCCTTCCAACTCTGTTATTCTGTTAAGAAATTCTGGTCCCAATTGTGATTGTAAGTTGAGATCTTCCTGTATTAAAAATTATTAAAAAGGGGTTTTTTAAAGTTAAAATATGGCCACCGTTGACCCTGGAAGGAAAATTGGATCTTGACA